TGTTTTTATTTGGTGTACAGCACTTTGGTCCTGCACGTTCCCTCAGGATTTATGTTTTAGACATTCAAAGGTCCCATATCATGTAAAATCCACCTCTTCGAGCATTTGACCATGTTTTATTGTTTGTTTCTCGTTAAAAACACCCCTCAAGTGTTATTTGGCCACAAACATGCATTTTCCTGTTTCAGATGCTTCTTCCCCTCAGCTCTGCACATTTTGCTAAGCTAATGCACTCAGCTGGATGAGGTGGTTTCTGCATCAGCGTGACTCCTCCCCATCCAGGGAGTCTCCTAAATCCCCTGGACTGTAAACACTAACACCCACTTTCTCAGTGTAGCTAGCAGAGTTTAATTTCCACAGTTGTAAAGAAGTGATTTCTTTCTTTCCTATCTAGGCTCTATAATGCCCAACAATGGATGTGAGAGGAACAAGATCCCTGTTCAGTCAGGGACCGGACCTATCCTTTTTCCTTCAGCGCATGATTTTTACTTTTTAGTTTCTGAAGCTTGGTCCTAGGCATGTCTGTGTGTAAGAATGAAAACAAAAACATGAGCTGAGGTCACACCTTTCTAACTACTTCCTGTTTCCTGTGGCTTGTTTTGTCTCAGCCTCCGTTCACGGCCGAAAATAGGAAGAAAACTATCGAGAAGATCCTTAAGTGCAAACTCAACCTTCCCCCTTATCTGACAGTCGATGCCAGAGATCTCATCAAACAGGTGTGTCACTCACAAATATGACTTCTGTCATCTACAGGCTGGTTATCCTCAGGGCACATGACCAGGACACGGAAATTTATAGAAATTAACTTGATTTAGTTTGGCCTAGTGAACTAGACCAAATTCTTGCTTTGCAAAGTTTGGTCTAGGCACGCTCCATTGGAACCTCCGCAGCTCCTACCAGGACTCTGGCTAGCCAATCACAGCTCTCTAGAGGGGTTTCAAACACATAAAGAGCTGTGATTGGTCCATAATGGTGGGCCAATCATAGTGCTCTATCTGCTTAGTGAACAAATCACAGAGCTTTATCCGCTTTGTGGGCCAATCAGGGCCCTCTATATGCCTGGTGGGTGGGATGATGCAACAGAGTGAAACAAGAGGATGTCACATTCATTGTCCAGTGGACAACGGTAGAACCCGCCCCACAACCGAGAGCCGTCAATGGAGCGTGGCCAGACTAAATAATACATTTATTTAGTCTGGCTTGCCAGGCTAGATTTAGCTTGGAAAAGATAGAAAACTTAAAAAATGTGAGCACAAAAGTCCAAAGGCCGCCCGTGAGTGATCCCAGGTGGTTGGTCTGAGATGCTTTTATTGGTGGCGGATCCTGTTACGATGGAATAATGCAGCCTTTGTTTTGCCTGTGGAGCTTTTATTCAACAGCTGATCTGCAGAACGGCTCCCAGCTTTTCTCTTGGAGGCGCAGATTTCTTTCTGCTGCCAAATTATTAAATGAACAGTTTAGGAAACAGATGGAAGTCCAATGAATATTTCCAGATTTAAGTTTTAGGTTTCAGCAGTAAAACAAAGTCTTTTTTTGTATGAAATCCTAAATTTGGGCCTAAATAATAAAAAAAAAGAAGCCAATAGTGAAAATGATCTCTTTGCTGTGCGTTCGTCTTTTTAACACCTTAGTCTAACAGCTGAAATGTCTCCCCAGCCTTCATTAGTGTCCACAGTTGTGATTCATCACTAAATGAAAAAAATCAGCTGTGTTCTTGATCTAAAACATGCACGAAATGTGCTGGAAGCCGACTGCAGCGCCAGGCATGTCAGCTCCACTTTTACAAACATCAAGCAGGAGGCGACCCGCCACTCTGAAGTAGCAAGTGCGGTATTCTGGCCAGAGCGGTGGGGGTCTGAGTGACATTTCATGAACACTGTAAAGGGTCATTTTAGCGCACACTGGCTCAGGAAAGGATTTAAAAGGATGGCTTTAATAATAGGGCTGCATTTTGTGAAGCATTTCTGCATTTTTTTTTCAGCTATTGAGGAAGAGTCCAGTCAAAAGACTCGGCTCCAGTCAAGGTGACTCCGCTGATATCCAGGTAAAAAACACACCCAGTCCATAAGATTAGCCATCATATACTGAAGACTCCATAATAAATAGAAGTTTTGTCAGTCGGAGGAATGCTGCAAAGCTCCATAAAGAGCATCAGAAAAATGAAATTTGCAAATTATTATTATTATTTTTTTTACCTCTGAAGCCAAAATTCAGCAGATTATTCTTGAGAAGTCCTTATTTTAAAAAACAGTCAGAAATGGTTTATTTTATTAATTAAAAGGGTAAATCATCCATTCTGTTTTTATGCCATTCAGGACGTTTCTCTGTATCTAAAAAAAGTCTCTGGGATGAAGAAGTCACTGGTTTTTCAGAGGTTTTACTGGGTAGGCTCGACAGAAGTCTCATCAGGATTAATAACTTTGTTTCATAAATACACTTTTTACTTAGCGAAGTAGCCTAAATGTGCAATAAGTAAGACTTTTACTGTGAAATAATCACAAAACTGTCTCAATCCTGTTGGAAGGAAGGCTATACTGAAGCAGATTAACTTCTCAGCTGGGGGTTGTCGGTCCTTCGCCTTTCAAAAAGGTAAAATAGGGACGTAGTCACTGTTTACTATCCGTGAGCCTGCAGGGTTGCCAAGTCTGTGCTGAGCTAACGCTGCAGCACTGGTACTTGTAATTCGACACCGGTAGGCAAAAATTAAATGAGTTGTTTAAAGAAGCAAAGCCAGTAAACAGGAGCGACCCAGAAGTTAGTTGTTGTGCCCCTAAGAAGCCACGGCATCTTTTTGTTTTACTTTATCAAGCAGAGCAGGCTAGAGGCTAACATTGAGCCATCAATGCTAACGGGGATTTAGAAGCAGTCGGCCCTGAAATATATCAAGCTTCCTTTTCCAACTCGATGTTCCAGTGAAATGTTTTTTTTTCCACTTATCACCCTATTGTGTACGACTCGTCTTCGCTCATCATCTAGAATCATCTGCTGCTGATCTGTCACTGGCAACAGCCGTGAAACTCGTGGAATAGGAGTGAGAAAGTCACTTTTTGTTTGGAAATGGACCGTAGTACCCAGCTGGACCACAGGTCGTCCTTCTTCATGCAGCTAAACGTTCTCATGATAAAAAGCGTGATTTTATTTTCCAGAAACATTCGTTCTTTAAACAAATCAACTGGGACGACTTGCTGAACAAGAGAGTAGAGCCTCCGTATAAACCTCAGCTGGTTGGTGTTATGCTCTTTTTTTTTTAGCTGCAAATGAAATAAGTTAGTTAGCTGTTGTTGATTAAAACCAACCATCGACTCAATCCTCTTGTGTGTCTCTTGCTAGCATTCAGATGAGGATGTGAGCCAGTTCGACACCAGGTTTACCCGACAGACTCCAGTGGACAGTCCGGACGACTCCACGCTGAGCCACAGCGCAGAACTCGCCTTCGCTGTCAGACGCGTTTTGGTGAATTCCACTTTTCAGGTTTACGCTTCACGAGGTGCTAATCAGACGTTATCTTGTTCTCTTTCAGGGCTTCTCCTTCGTGGCTCCATCGGTGTTGGAGAGTCTGAAAGAAGGGTTCTCGTTCGAGCCCCGATCTCGTCACGTTCGTCGTCACAACAGCAGCCCACGCACACCCATCAGGTACCGCACACACACACGCACGCACACAAGCACACACACACACACACGAACAGCTTATCCAAGTTTGGGTCACGGAGGTCGCAGCTCCAGCAGAGAGGCCCGGGTCTATAAAGAGTAGAAGTTGCCACCAAACTAAGAAGCTGAAGCTGACGTTGACGTGTACATTTATACATTCTGCCGGCGTCAGCGTGGTGACTGTTTTAGAGCCAACACTTGCTAGTGGTCACCATCAGAAGTCACAAAAAATTGCATCAGAAACTTGTACACGGCCTCCATAACATGTCACACACACATGCAAATTACGCTGCCATCACAATAGTGTCTGCTCTGTTCATCGCCGTCACCAATAATTTAAACGTTTATTTAATTTCTCATAGTTAAGTCCGTCGTTGGCACTCCCATAAGCTCGTTTCGGACTGGTCCTCCACCTCTCAGCTCGACTCTGATTACTTAGAAACAAGCAGCTACTTTTAGGTATTATAATTTAAACGAGGAAGGGAGTGACGCCGCCGTTAGCGGCTAGCTCTGATGAAGACCGCAGGAGTGGTCGAAACTCCCAACAAGGTAAAAAAAACCTTTTCTGTTAAAAGAACCTAAAAATGCAATAAGAAGGTCGTGATTTAAAATCCGTAAGTTAATTTATATATTTTAATAAGTAAATTAATTTAATTTATTAACTTATATTTTAGGAAGATAAAACCACTTGAGATGAAACATCTTGTTTACGAGTGGGTCCTCCTACCGTAGAGAAGTGAAATACAAGAAGACGGGCAGCTCACTGTAGAATAAAACAAACTCAGTCCAGTTATTGAGTAGATAACTAAAGACAAACTGGACAACAAAATAAATAGTAATAATAAATAATAATCCTGCAAATGTGTTGGTGTTTAATTAGGGTTGTCACCAGGGATGTGAATCTCCACGGCTGAGGCCGGTTCGATAAGCCACCATCGATGCGATGCTTTAAAGCTGTTACCGCAGCTTTGGAAAACAGATGAGCTTAAAACACTTTTTCATGCCACATAACGTTCTAACTTAGTGTAGCTACAAATGTGTGGTGGAGATAAAAAATACAAATGAATAAATGGTTCTCTAAACCTCCGCCAATAACACGGCTCGGACCGGAACCAACCACTGGATCATCCGTTTCCCAGACCTGCCAACCTGTACGCGTTTTGGCATCTATGTACGCCGGTACGACTCACCCTTCTAAACTACGCAGAAAGCTGCGGATACGTGAGCTGAGTTGTGTGGCAAATGTGCACGTATGGTACTCCTGTCTGACAACACGAGTCAGCGGCGTGGTGAAGACGTTTACGCCAATCATCGCAGGAAAGAGAAGGAAAACCGTCCTGCCTAACAGCGTAACAGCCCCGCCCCCTCCTGCCCGCTGCTCCTCTCTCCCTCCGGCTCGCCTCTCGCTGCTTTTCTGGTCAGGTAAAGTGTGTGTGTGTGTGTGTGTGTTTGCCTTTATCCATTGCAGATAGATTTGGCCTGTATATAAGGAGGTGTAGCGTAGGGAAATGGATGATTTTTATCTGTTATGACCAGGAAGCTGTAATATTCTATATAAATATAAAATATGAACCTGCGAGGTCTTTATTTGATCTTATCAGAAGATTCTAGGATTTAATTCAGAAGATCTAGGTTCGTTGCTGTTTCAGTGATCAACCACACTTCGTGTTCCTTCAAGAAAGAGTCGGGTTTATAAAAGTTAGAATTTATTTTACAAACATTTAAAACATGAATAAGTAACTAAGCATTTACTGTGAGTGGATGTAACTAAACGTGCTGAAGGAGCCTGTGTGTGAATGCGACGTCCGTCAGAGCTTCCTTATCAAAGTAGGCCGAGTTCTGGTGAAAACAGTTTGGTGTAAAGGGTTAGGGTTCTTATCATCAGAAGAACATCAGACGCGATCTGTCATGTCCACTTCACCCGTTCCAGAGAGACCCTCTTGGTGGATCCGACAGTCGCGGGGTCGGCTGACCTCTGGCACCGGAGGGCTGTAGAATACCGTGGTACCGACTCTTCAGTCCGGAGATGTCTCGGGTCACAACCGCTGGATGGAACCGTGCGTCTGGCGGACGATATCAGCTTTGTTCTGCAGGAACTGTTGGCTCATCAGCTTCGCAGGTGTAAAGGGTTTCGACGACGTGTCGACATCTTTGATGGTTAAAGAGGTTTGGCTACAGGCGGCCGGTCTGAGCGACTCTCTAGAACTGTCGACTCACTCAGGATGATCCAGTTTTAAGGTTTTGATGTTATGATTTGGACAGCCAATCAGAGGCTGCCAAGTTTGAGAGATGTTACCAAGACCACTCAGAAACACGCCTTCATGATGCAGGATGTTCTGACTGGTTTAAAAGTCGTCTAACTCAACCGTACGTGTTGTTGTGTGGGTGCAGGTGTGAGGACCTGGTCGTCTAAACATGGTGAACACAAGGCAGGTTCTAGTAGACATAAACACAACATAACATCCATTCAGTGTGCACAGATTAATGAAGCATTTCATTAAACTATAGTTATGATAAGTAGTGATTAAAAAATGTTTATGTAATGATTGTCTAGATTATGAGTCATGGAAGAAGTTCATGTTGATTTAGTAAATCATTCTTGAATTTAGCAACTGATTGGAGCTGGAGTCGTTCTGCGGAGGCAGACAGATGGACCTTGGGGAAGAAAGTTATTGTTTATCTTTCAGACTTGCAGAGGATTGGTTAGCAGACCTGCCAAAAAAAAAAAAACCCCGGTCCATGTGTCTCAGAAGTTTTTGTCCAAATATCAAGAACAGTGGCCGTGCTCGCGACCCTCTAAACAACCTCAGCGCCGTTTTACTGTGAAAAAAATCCTCCTGGGCGCATTCCTTCATTAGACGTTCCAGCATCCGTCCCTTCTGGTTGAATAAAGCCGCACCTCGTTACAAGCCGCATGGCTCAAAGCGTGGGAAAAAGTAGCGGCTTATAGTCCGGAAAATACGGTAACTGTTAGGAATTATTCTGAAAGACTGCGAACATCCGGAAACATCCAAAAAGTTTTTAAATGTTGTAGATTCACGAGGGGCTGTTGTGAAATCCGTAGTTTCTCTTATTCTGACCCACCTCTGCATGCTACATGAAAACAAGCATGTCTCTGCTCTTCTTGCTGCTTTTATCCTCTCATGGTCTCCATGTGACCCACATCTGATCTCAGACACGTTTCTCTCTCCAGTCCACTGAAGTTCTCTCCTGCTGGGCCCTTTAAGTTGGCCGTGGAAGGAGAGCCAGACCTTTTCTCTCCTACGTCTCCACCAGCAGCTCCACCTTCGGTCCCGTTGGAGAACGGACCTGCCAGTCGGCCCATCAAAACCCCGTCTCGGAACAAGAAGAAGAAAGGACATCAGAGATGAGGAGGAGGCTGTAAAACATCCAGCTTTGGTCATTTTTCTTCCTTCTGATTTCAGGTCCGACTTACTGGGAAACCGGTTCTGGAGAAATAAATGAACTCAGTACTGACTGGGTTTATAGTCACACATGCTCTGCTTATTATTACGACTCTGAGTTGAATTATTTGTGAAGCGTTCATCTTCAGCTCTGACGTTTCTGGACGTTCTGTCTCACTGGACTCTCATGTATGGAAACACAAACTTCTGTAATTAGAAAGCGAGCGAAGGAGCCATCAGTTCCTTCACCAGCTTCCTGTGGCGCTACACACCGCTAACCCGCTTCTTTAGTTACAACTAAAGAAAGTTGGTACGAGGTTTAAAGACTAAGTTCACTTGTTTCTTTTTCAACACATTTGCAGCGGCGTCGAGTATGTTTGAGTGACTTATGAGTCATCTCTGAGGTATAAAAGCTCCGGTGCTCCTGTCTCAGGAACTAGAAGTGAGCCAGAGCAGAGGGGGGCTGAAGACGACAGGATCTGGAGTCTTAATGATGTTTGGGTATCTCGGCTCTGATTGGCTAACAGTAACAAGGCTCTACCACTGGCTCAGTTGATGTTTTATCTCCACAAACAACACCAGCCTGATGGAGTTGCTAATGCTAACGGCTAGCTTCCACTAGCTGAGACGTTCTCTGCTGTTTCCTGGATGCTAAACCAAACCAACAACAGCCTTCCCCGTCGCGAGCCGAGGTGGTGTAGATCTGTGTGGCTTTTCTAATCCGAGCGTTTCGCCATCTACTTTTTATCGGCGGCTAATGCAGGAACTAGAAGTAGAAGACTGTTTTTACCGATTATTTTTAAACATACAAGTAAAAAACCGGTTCCTCAGTGAACTTGGCCTTTAAGGTGGAACTGGTCCATCGAGTTCGACTCACAGCAAACCGATGACGGATTTTTGCTTTGAAGATTATTTTGTGCGAAGGTTGAAACACGACACCACTTTTTGTTGTTGTTGTTGGGCTGCATGACCTTAAATCTGTGGTGTGACACGTTTTGGGTTTTTTTGGTTCCAGGTTTTCTTTTCTTTGTATATAAAATTTAATCTAAAGTGTGAAAGCCTAAAGAAGGTTGTTCCTTTACGTAATGACATCATTGTGAAACACACTGCCTTCCTGTTGGTTCATCCAATGCCTCAGATAGCAGCTCAGTGGTTAGTTTGAACCAATCAGAGCAGACTTGGCCTTAAAGTGACAGTAGCTAAAAGTCAGCAGTGGCCGAATTTGTGTTAAATATAATTATGTTGGGAAGAATTTTGGCACATGGAACTCATCCTGGAGACCTTCAACACAAAATTAATAAGCTATAAATTATTTATGGGGTTTTAATGAGTTTGTAAATAGAAAAATATTTATTTAAGTTTAAAATCCTCTAGATTATTTTTTCATTTTTACTTATTCCTCAGGTGTTTCTAAACAACATTCATCTGCTGCCCATGCACACACACACACACACACACACACACACACACACACACACACACACACACACACACACACACACACACACACACACACCTGCTGTATGAACAGGTTTACGGTGATGTGCTCAGAAAACAAAATTATGTATAAAAACAGTATTTTGTTAATGAAGCTGAAGTTTTTCCCCAATCTGAACTAGTGTTTAAGTAGAATTTAAACATTTACAGATTCACTCTAATCAAATGTATTTTCTCTAAAATAAACAACTTTATGAATCTGTCTGATAATTTTTGTAAAATGTTTGCATTAAAAATAAAGCCACGGTATCTGTAAAGACATATCTGATATATTTATGAAGCTTTCCACCATTTTGGCTGATTTAGTCAGTTTTATCTCCTCCGTCGTTCTCGCTTAGAAGGGTGTTTTATTTCTGACTCCTGAGGATTTTAAATTGTCAGATAATTTTGATCTGAGAATAAACTTGGTTGAAACTTATTTTTGTTTTTGGCTCCGCCCACTTGCTGCTGATTCTGTCTGGGGAAAAAAACCTGGTCCTGAAATAAACGGATGTTTTTCTGGCTCTTCGCATGACAAATGGTTTTCAGTGATGTATGTGATTTCATTTATCATTTGAGGAGAAGAGTCCTGTTTTTGCAGCATTTTAGTAACTGAACACGTCGTCTGTATTAAAACAAAGCCTTTCCGCCACATGGTACAGTCATGTAGAGAACAATTATAAAACACAAAACATGGCTTATCTGATGTGTTTATCATGACAAAATGATTAATGAGTGTTTGATGCAAATGAATAAAACGTTTCTCTGGATGTAGAACCTGGAGGTGATTTTTAAATGACACCTTTTGTTGTTTCTTTGTGTTCTGAATACAACTTTGTTGATATTTGAGTCATTTGCCGAAAGGTTTTGTTGCTGTTTATGGTAATTAACATGAAACACTAAGGTTTAAACGCCTTTATATATTTTATGTCTGTTTAATCTCACAATATAATGTTTGTTTCAGCTTTATTCTGTAAATAATGACCACATTTATACAAGTGATCAAATATGGTAAGTCATCCTAAAATGTTTAATCCGATAGAATCCAACAAACTATAATCCTTCATAGAATTTGTTTTGGCTGAGGGCTGAGCACCCCCTCACCCCTGCCACGTGGACCTCAAGGGGTAAACCATCAACCCTGCTCAGTAGTCAACTTTCCTGGCGGGGTCACCTAATAGGACAGTGGGAGGGTAAAATAAAAAAATAAAATGGGAAATGGCTACTTCTAAGGTTCTACAACCCCCCAAGGTGCTTTACAACAGTGATTTACCCATTCACACGCTCACTGAGCCTTTTATTAATTCAATTCAGTTTATATAACGCCAATCATTACAAGTCGTCTCAAGGCACTAAAAGTTCCCTTTGTAAGAAACCCAGCGTTCCCCATGCATGCAGCAGGCGGGGTACTCCCTGGACATGTTGCCAGTCCATCGCAGGGCAACACAGAGGCACACTTAAGGACAATTCAGAGCAACCAATCAACCTGACGGTCGTGTTTTTGGACTGTGGGAGGAAGCCAGAGTACCCGGAGAGAACCCACTCATGCACAGGGAGAACATGCTAACTCCATGCAGAAAGACCCCAAGCTGGGATTTGAATGCTGGATCTTCTTGCTGCAAGGCAACAGCACTGGCCACTGCGCCACTGTGCAGCCCTTAAATGAGGATTTATAAGAGATTATTTTACTCAGATTACTCCAAAAGCACAAACCCTTTACTTTTGTTGACATTCCCGTCCAAACAAAAACCAGACTTCAGTTATTTTACAGACATTTGGATACAATCTCAGCTCATTTTCTCTCCAAACTGTTATTCAACCTAAAACAATTCGCTTTTGGTTTCAGAATGAGCACCCCCTCGTGCATGCTTGTGAAAACATTTGGTTTTGTTCAAATCCAAACAAACAACAGAGTCTGTGATTGTTCCCTGTTTTCCCTCGGTGGTTTTTGTTTCTGTAACAACCCTAACCCTGCTGGTTCTGAGCTGGTTGAAGCTTAGATATTTGGAAACTTAAACTTTCATCTGGATCAGGATTTTTGGGATTTTGCTTAAGTTCCTCTCTCACGGGAAGTTTGCTGAAGCTATCAGCTGTCAGCAGCCGTTCAAAACAAAACTGTTGGACTTTTCTGTGATAGATGCTTGAATACACAGCCAAGGTGGGAAGAGCCTCCACAGAAGAAGTCTGGAAAGTGGTCTGAGGATGCTAGTGAGGGAAATGATCAGGTTCTTTGATCTAGGTTTTCTCCTAAATTCCACATCCATCCATCCATCCATTTTCATCCACTTATTCGGAGTCGGGTCGCGGGGGCAGCAGCCTAAGGCGAGAGGCCCAGACTTCCCTCTCCCCAGCCACTTGGGCCAGCTCCTCCGGGGGAATCCCAAGGCGTTGCCTGCCCAGGTGAGAGACATAGTCCCTCCACCGTGTCCTGGGTCTACCTTTAGGTCTCCTCCCGGTTGGATGTGCACGGAAAACCTCACCAGGGCAGCGTCTAGGAGGCATCCTGACCAGATGCCCGAGCCACCTCAACTGGCTCCTCTCGATGTGGAGGAGCAGCGGGTCTACTCCGAGCCCCTCCCGAATGACCGAGCTTCTCGCCCTATCTCTAAGGGAGAGCCCAGCCACTCTGACGAGAAAACTCATTTTGGCCGCTTGTATCCGTGATCTCGTTCTTCCGGTCACTACCCAAAGCTCATGACCATAGGTGAGGATAGGAACGTAGATCGACCGGTAAATCGAGAGCTTCGTCTTCTGACTCAGCTCTCTTTTCACCACGACAGACCGGTACAACGCCCGCATCGCTGCAGACGCAGCACCAATCCACCTATCGATCTCACGCTCCAGTTTTCCCTCACTCGTGAACAAGACCCCGAGGTACTTAAACTCCTCCACTTGGGGCAGGACCTCATCCCTGACCCGGAGAAGGTATTCTAGCCTTTTCCGAATCAAGACCATGGTCTCAGAATTAGAGGAACTGATTCTCATCCCAGCTGCTTCACACTCGGCTGCGAACCGCTCCAGCGAAAGCTGAAGATCACGTTCTGATGAAGCCAACAGGACCACATCATCTGCAAAAAGCAGAGACCTGATCCTCAGGCCACCAAAATGGATGCCCTCCACACCTTGGCTGCACCTAGAAATCCTGTCCATTAAGGTTATGAACAGAATCGGTGACAAAGGGCAGCCTTGGTGGAGTCCAACTCTCACTGGGAACGAGCCCGACTTACTGCCGGCAATACGGACCAAGCTCTGACACCGGTCATACAGGGACCTAACAGCCCGTATCAGGGGGCCTGATGCCACATACTCCCGGAGTACCCCCCACAGGGCCCCCCGAGGGATGCGGTCAAACGCCTTCTCCAAATCCACAAAACACACGTGGACTGGTTGGGCAAATTCCCACGCACCCTCCAGGATCCCCCTAAGGCTATAGAGCTGGTCCAGTGTTCCACGGCCAGGACGAAAACCACATTGCTCCTCCTGAATCTGAGGTTCAACAATCCGACGGACCCTCCTCTCCAGAACCCCTGAATAGACCTTACCAGGAAGGCTCAGGAGTGTGATCCCCCTGTAGTTGGAACACACCCTGCGGTCCCTCTTTTTTAAATAAGGGGACCACCACCCCGGTCTGCCAGTCCAGTGGGACTGCCTCCAATGTCCACGCGATATTGCAGAGCTGCGTCAGCCAATACCGCCCCACAACATCAAGAGCCTTAAGGAACTCCGGGCAGATCTCATCCAACCCTGGAGCCTTGCCACAGAGGAGCTTTTTAACCACCTCAGTGACCTCAGCACCAGAGATTTGAGAGGCCAACCCAGAGTCCCCAGACTCTGCTTCCTCACTGGAAGACATGTCGGTGGGATTGATGAGGTCTTCGAAGTATTCTGCCCACCGATCCACAACGTCCTGAGTAGAGGTCAGCAGCACACCGTCCCCACTATAGATAGTGTTGGTAGCGTACTGCTTCCCCCCTGAGGCACCGGATTGTGGACCAGAATCTCCTCGAAGCCGTACCAAAGTCTTGCTCCATGGTCTCACCGAACTCCTCCCATGCCCAGGTTTTTGCTTTGGTGACCACCCGAGCCGCGTTCCGCTTGGACTGCGTCAGCCCCTCAGCTGCCTCTGGAGTCCCACAGGCCAAAAAGACCTGATATGACTCTTTCTTCAGCTTGACAACATCCCTAACCGCCGGTGTCCACCAGCGGGTTCGGGGGTTGCCACCACGACAGGCTCGACGATCCTGCGACCACAGCTCCGGTCGGCTGCCTCAACAATGGAGGCACGGAACAGGGTCCATTCAGACTCAGTGTCCCCCGCCTCCCCCGGAACATTTTGGAAGTTCTATCGGAGGTGGGAATTGAAGCTCCTTCTGACAGCAGACTCTGCCAGACGTTCCCAGCAGACCCTTGTGATACGTTTGGGCCTGCCTGGTCTGACCGGCATCCTCCCCCACCATCTGAGCCAACTCACCACCAGGTAGTGGTCAATTTACAGCTCCGCCCTCTCTTCACCCGAGTGTCCAAGACATGCGGCCGCAGGTCAGATGAAACAACAACAAAGTCAATCATCGAGCTGCGGCCTAAGGTATCCTGGTGCCAAGAGCACATGTGGACACCTTTATGTCTGAACATGGTGTTCATTATGGACAATCCATGACTGGCACAGAAGTCCAATAACAAAACACCACTCAAATTCAGATCGGGGGGGGGGGGGGGGGGGGGGGGGGGCATTCCTCCCAACCACACCTCTCCAGGTCTCACTGTCGTTGCCCACGTGAGCGTTAAAGTCCCCCCGCAGAACGAGGGAGTCACTGGAAGGAGCGCTCTCCAGCACCCCCTCCAAGGTCTCCAAAAAGGGTGGGTAGTCTGAACTGTAGTTTGGTGCATAAGCACAGACCACAGTCAGAACCCGTCCCCCCACACATAGGCGGAGGGAGGCTACCCTCTCATTCACTGGGGTAAACCCCAACGTACAGGCACCAAGATGAGGGACAACTAGTATGCCCACCCCTGCTCGGCGCCTCTCAGTGGGAGCAACTCCAGAGTGGTAGAAAGTCTAAACCCTCTCAAAGAAACTGGTTCTCCTCTCTGCTCTCTGGTTCTCTGCCAGTCTTCAAGAGTCGCCTAAAAACCCACCTCCTCTGCTTGGCGTTTCCCGAACATGTTTGAATCTGGCCCTCTTTTATGTTGATTTTATCTCACAGTTTTCATTGGTTCACTCTATCCCTCGTTTTACACATTTGTCTTCTACTAGAATGTTTCACCTTTTTTGTAATTTGTATTTTGTAATTTGAATTGCTTTTATTTTCTGATTTATTCACTATATTTAACTTTGCACTGTACCATGTTCAGCGCCTTGGGCTTCCTGACAGGGTTGCGGAAGGCGCTTTATAAATAAAGCTTTGATTGATTGAGTGATTGGTTCCAGAGCCAGAGCCATGCGTTGAGGTGAGTCCGACTATATCTAGTCAGAAACTCTCAACCTCACACACCAACTCAGGCTCCTTCCCCACCAGAGAGTTGACATTCCATGTGCCAAGAGCCAGCTTCTGTAGCCGAGGATCAGACCGCCAAGGTCCCCGTCCTCGACTACCACCCTTCACACACTGCACCCGACCCCTTTGACCCCTCCCACGAGTGGTGAGCCCATTGGAAGGGAGACCCATGTTTCCTCTTCGGGCTGTGCCCGACCGGGTTCAATGGGTGAAAGCCCGGCCACCAGGCGCACGCCAACATGGCCCACCTCCAGGCCTGGCCCCAGAGGTGGGGCCCCGGTGACCCACGTCTGGGCGAGGGAACAC